CCCCAACCCCAACCCCCACCGCAGCCCCGGGTCGGAGCGGCCGCGGCCGCCAGGCGGAGCTCAGCGCCCCGCTCCACGCTCACCTGCCGGCCGGCCGCGGGCGTACATGGGCAGCTGCGCGCCGTGCCGCAGCAGGTAGCGCACGGCCGGGGCCGCGAGCGGCGGCGGGACGGGGCTGTCCTCGGTCTGTCGCTCCGGGGGAACCTGCGGGGATAAGCGAGTCGGGGGTCGTTCGGGTGCGTCCGCGGGAGCGCTGCGCTTCCCTCCCGTCCCCTCCCGTCCCCCGGGCTCCTTCCGAGGAGCCGGCGGAGCAGCGCGGCGCTTCGGGTGGGCGCCTTTCACATAGCGGCCCTCCTCCGGTCACCCGCGGCCGGGAGTTCCGTGGGGTGTCAGCCACAGCCCGTGGTTCGATATGGTGGTTTGGGTTCGGAGGGGAGCTGTGGGACTGTGTGGCTCTGCCTGCGGTGTAAGGCTGCAGGCAGCATCAGCGAGCATTTGGTCCGTCCTTACTCAGGAAATTCACCGACGGCTGTGAAAAATCAGTGGCTTCACTCTTTCATCTACGAAAGCCATTCGTTCCCTATGGGGAGGTGCTGAGAAACCCGCTGCCCGCAGGCTCGCCTGAGACAGGTTCGGGTTGGCATTCGGTGTGTTCCGATTAGGAAACACCAGGAAGGTGGTAAGTGAATAAATGAGGAGGGGATTTCTTGTGCTGCGTGGGAAAACAGAGCGACTTGGTGGGAAGTTGGCAAATCTGAAAACGTGGCAAAGACCGAGAGGCACCGACAGGGCAGTGGGGGTGGGATCTGTGCGGGAAATAGCTCAACAGCAGCACAGAGCTTTGGGAGAAAGATGGGAGAAGGAACTGAAGTGAACAACATCGCCAGATTACCCGAATGATAACGTGGCATTTCTCTCACCTGCTCTGACAGCAGGATCTGGCGCAGCTCCTTCTGGAGATCGATAAAGCGGTCGTGATAGATGGCCATGGACCACGGCTCCCTGAAGTAGCTGGTTAAAAAAGAAGAAATTCAGTTATCTCGTGAACCTCTCATTAACCGCTAATAAAGTATTTACCTGCTTTTTCGCCTTTATAAATGACAGTTCTGGACCCATCAGGATCGTTTGTTCGTGAAATGCCTCTCGCAACAGCATGGCCAATCAATTCTTTTAATGGATGTTCCTGATGTACAGCCAGCTCCAGTAATTACATTTAAAGTGGCTTAATTCAGAGCTGTGGCAAGACCCGGTGAAGAATCCTGATTTTATCAGAATTTAAAAGCCCGAAGACCTGTAAAGAACGGTGTCTCCATTATCTGTCCTCATTTGAGAAAAGCAGATTGCAGGATTAACTGAACTGCTGCATAAACAAATTAAATTTGTGTAGACAATGACACAAATGTTGTTCATCATTAAGGTTTCTGGATTAATAAAGGCCAGAAAAACAGGCCACCGCAGTGTTGCAATATGTTCCTTGCAGCAGTGTGCTGAGGCTCACTGGTAGTTACTGATGCTGTTACAAACGCTGTAAGGTTGGATGTGAGATTTGCTCGAGCTGAGCCCTGCTCCAGGTACCTTTCTTTGAAGCATGACATGCCTGTAAGGCGTGGGAAGCAGGAGAAGAGGATATTCCCCAAATATTTAATCAAAGTTCCGTTTCGGGAGAAAAATCCCATCCAACCCAACCCTTCAGCTCAATGTTAGCATTAGGATGATCACGCTGTGTTGTGTTTATGTTGTTTACTGTGTTGCTGCTACCATCACCGGCACAGCACAGCCAAAAAAAGTGCTTTTTTTTGTGCATGTCAGCATGCCCACGTGTTGTGGAGCTCCTTCCCTTCACCTGAAGAAATGTGACCATCCAAGTGCTTGATGGAAACAATTCTCACTTCCTTTGCTGGCCCTGCATTTTCTTTCTTCCCCGTTGGAATCACCTTTCTAAAGGAACACATGGTGCTTTGGAGGAAGCAGATCTGCATATGGCCCTTCAGGTCTGTAATAATGAGAAAAGCCCATCTGAAGCCAAACCAACAAGTCGACTTTGGGAGGCTCGTTCTGAGTTTTATTGCCACTTCAGCAGCAGTCCCTCAGGGCAAGCCGGAGAAAGCTTGAAAGTATAATGCTCTTCAGTATACAAGCTGGAGCTGGCATGCTACCAACAGAGGCTCAAAGGCTCCTGGGCTATCATGAGAACGGCATCTGCCACATGTGTTTGCACCATTTAGTCTTTCATAACTTGCCAGAGTGATCAGGCTAAATATGTACAAGATGACAATGTTTGCCAGGAGCATAACGGGTTTTCAGACTCCTGGTCACTTCCTAACGGGGATCCCCTGCTGGCAGACTTTTGTATCGGCGGAGGAGATCAGGGGAAGGAATTTGTAAGGAGATGGGATGAAATGGTCTCCTTTTGAAGACAATAAGTGACATCCTTTTTGTTGCTAGGAAGCTCCTCTTGCCTTTCACTGACAATCAGCGTTTAAAGTCTGTTCTGCCTCATTTGTGATGTATAGCCTATATGAGATGAAAGGGAAGGAGAAAAACATTTAGTGGCATCCTTTACAAAAGACAGGGGATCTTCCTCTCGCGAAGAGATACAGCAGAACAAAAAATGGATCAAGTTGGCCATTGCTAGCAAGCAGAAACGGAGTATGCGTGGAAATGCTTTCAGTCTGAAAGCTCCATTCTCCATTTCATTTGCAGCTGCACACCTTTTGTCTGCTTCATTCTGAAGCTGCCACACTCCGCTGATGGGGGAACCGGTGATGGGGGAACCGGCCCCAGCCTCCAGCCGTGCTCCCATCCTAAGGCAGGTGCAGCAGAGGGAGGACACATACGAAGAGCAGGGAATTCCAATGCCAGGGAGTGTGGAGAAGAAACTGAGATGGGCTGGGATGGAGCAGGCTAGAAGAACTGTCCCGTTTTGCCAAGAAAAGAGAAGATGCATCAATCTAGGGCTGGAAATTGGTGATGTTTCCTAATTTTGCTAGCTTGCAGCTGTTGTTGAGTTCTCACCAAGCTGCTCTTTACACTTTCGAAACTCTGTGCTGTTAAAAAAAGCATTGCATTCTGCTCTGAGAGAAAATTATTGCTGACCCCGAGGAAAGGTTTATTGCATTTCTGCACACAGGACTATCCCACGTGTAATGCATGATGAAAAACAATTAAAAGGAAATTAAACCTGACTCACATCAGCAAATACGCTGCGTAGAATGGTACAATCACTTCTCTGTAATTACTTGTTTATGACTTCAGAGCTCAGCCATTCATAATGGCTTGTGTAATTATTAATATGAATCAGCAGTGTTGGACCACAGATCGGTGTGGTAGAATTCAGCTGACCAGCCTTTACTTACTGATTTGGATGTGGGGTTTCTTGTTGCCAAGTCAGCTGCACCTTAGAAACTGTATTAATATATAAAAAAGGAAAGACATCTAAAGGGTTCTACCATTTACACTGATTTGCTATCAAAGCACAGCTTTACCAGGGTATCTTGGGGTCAGCATTTAATTCCAATATGAAAAATAGCTGTTGGTGCTTTGATATCCCTTCACGTGTTCCTTTCTCCTTACGCTGTCCCTCTTTTCATAAAAAGCACACGTTTTTTCCTCTAATTAGGCTGCCAAGTGTACTGAGCAGCATTAGCCCCTCTCAGCCCTGCTCGCTACCTGCCACATTTTCTCTCTGCTTTTTTTCATCCCTGCAGAAAATAAGTCTCACTGCCTGCGGGATGAACAAAAGCCTAAGGTGGAATCCCTTCAATGTGATCGCGGTGTGCTAATGGTGTGGGACGTGGCCAACCCCACACACAGCACTGCGTTGTAGTATTTCTCTTAATGAACAATCGCCCTTCATTTTTTGAAAGCCCTTTTTAAAGCCAGCCTATGTATGGAGCACGTATTTCATGCTTAATCGCTCACCTCGTCCTTTGAAAAATTGTACTGCACACATCGAATGCTCTTTTTCCTATTTCTTCAGTTATGTTGTGAGGTTTATTAGAGTTGAGTCATTAAACGGCGTGGTTGCTTCTGCTTAAGCTCTCATTAATGACAGTGATCAGTAAACCACTAAAACTTTTAGCTTCGTGTAAAGAGGGCTATGATATGTGAATGGAACTTAAGCAGAAAAAGCCAGGTGGGGATGTGGCACTGAGGGATGTGGTCGGTGGGCACGGTGGGGATGGGTTGGTGGTTGGACTGGATGATCCTAGGGGTCTTTTCCACCTTAATGATTCTATCATTCTACGCATTAGGAAACATTACAGGCTGCCCAAAGAGGTTGTGGATGCCCCGTCCCTGCAGGTGTTCAAGGCCAGATTGGATGAGGCCCTGGGCAGCCTGGTCTAGCATTAAATGAGGAGGTTGGTGGCCCTGCATGTGGCAGGGGGGTTGGAGATTCATGATACTTGAGGTCCCTTCCAACCCTGGCCATTCTGTGATTCTGTGATTTCAGATAGCAGGAGTGGACGGACACCATCACTAGATGTGTTTCAGGTTGTTTTTTTGCTGATCTCACTTGGACCACCTCTCACATGGGCCCACAGACAGGACACCAGAGTGCTGCTGGGCTTCATCTGAAAGACACTCAGCCTGTGTATGCTGAGATGGCTCTGGGATGCAGATTAAAGCAGAGTGAGTGCAGATGGCTAAAACACATTTCTGGTAAGAACTAAATATAAATGCAATATCAGTAGAGCACTTTGTACCCTGTGTTTTGTGTTACTCAAAGCACTTTGCCACATTGTGCATTAGTCTACGCTTTGCAATCTGGTGAATACCAGAAGTGCTTAATATACAGCAGTTTACTAACTTCAGCATTACATGTAGGGTAAACGTGGTGAATAGAATCATCACAGAGTGGCTGGGTTGGAAGGGACCTCAAAGCCCACCCAGTTCCAACCCCTGCCATGGGCTGGTTGCCCAGGGCCCATCCATCCTGGCCTTGAGCAGCTACAAGAAAAAACTTCTGAAAAAGGATGGCTAAGCAACACAGCACTTCAGAGGGTGCCTTTTAGAAACTGATCAGCTTAATCGTGCTGCCTCTACCAGGATTATTTATCACTGCCAGCCCAAACACATGCTGTTTCCTTCAGCACTGCGGCCTTTGCTTCACTCTCTATCATGCAGTCGTGGTGCTCCTTTCCTCAGCAGCACTGTCCCATCCTTGTTAACCAGCATTTTCTGCAGGTCATAACTAAAGACAAGTTCATTAATACAGTATTACAAATTTGGCTCTCATTAATGCCAAATGAAGCCTATACGAAGCGCTTCTATCTCATGCTAAAGGCACCATGCCAGTTGAGCATCCATTTGGAGCCCCTCCAATGATCTGTTTTGTACTCCAGATGCAGTAGAGGGATATTCCACTGCTCCAAGACACGTTCCATAACTCAGCAACTGCCTTACAGGAGAATACAAAAGGGTATGACTGGTTGGTTGCATTCCCCTTTTGGGAAGCAAGTGTGGAGCACTGGTGACCAAAACCAAACCCACAAGCTTGAAATTAAAGAATATTTTGGAAGTTTCTCAGGTCTCCTTCTTTTATCTGCTGCTGTGGTGGTGGAAGGGATTGGAAGGCTTTCAGTGAGTGTGGTGCAGGGAACACTGGTATTAAACCTACTGGAATTTATGTTCTTTTCCACTCAAGAAAAATCTTCCCTATCAGGAAAGAGCCTCGCTCTCAGGTGCTTAAATTCCACCTGAGCCTTTTCAAGATGCAATCTTATAGGAAATCAATAAAAACTACAGAAACTCCTTCCTGAAGTGGATTCCAAATCTAGGAAGTAAAGCTGTTAAACAGTCAAGGACATAAAAGGTCCGTACACAGAACTCTCAGCTTGAGAATACACTGCATCTTCGGTTCCTATGGCTGTGCCTGCCCTGATAAGGGCATCTTAGCACTTCCCTGCTCAGGAATGCTGGGCTGCAACCTTCTGATAGTGCAGGGACCAGGGAGGAGACTTCTTTTGCTGCCCTAACTGCTGCCAACTTGCCCAGCAGACGTTGGCATCCCATGAAGCAGCCAGGGGGCTGAAGTGCATCCCCTCGCGATGCAGTCGGTACAGCCAGCTGTCTGACTGCTTGTGATCATCTTCTGGCTTAATGGCCTATTTCCTCAGCTGCTCTTTGCACAGCTACAAACGAAAACATTGGCTCTTAATCTCATGTTTAGCTAAGGAACGGTTTGGGCAGCTCAGATACTCCTCTACACGAAGCTGTGGTACCTAACACATGGTAGAGTCAGGCTGCAGGAGCTTAGCTATAGGCAATTGCTATGTCCCTGGTAGCATGTTTCTTAGCCAAGTGACTATGGAACTACAGTCAGATGATCTTATGCTGTTTTTCCACTTATTTCTTGCTAGGTTCCTAAATTCACAACCTTAGTTTTTAAGGGTGGCAGTCTGTGGACCCACACAAGCTATATTGGGACCGGGGACAGCAGTGGCCTTACAGATTAGGGGGTCTGGCATGAGATGGGTATGGGGCAGCATCACTGCAGGACCCTCCAGCGGGGGGAATGGAGAAGTGATTTTCATTGTTCATGGGGCACATTCTGCAGCTTTTAACAAGTGTTGAAGTCCTACTGAAATCAATGGAACTTTTCTCTCAACACAAGGAAATGTTATTTCTCTCCTTATTACCATTAGCGACAGGCACGCATCCGGAAGGGGTCACTCCTTGAAGTTAGCTGAATCTTGAGGGCCTGGTGTTAATGCTAATTTGAGAATGGCAACTGGCCCATTATGGTCAGGAAATCCGGTATCATGGGGTTAACCTTCAGCCTTTATACCGAACACAAATCAGTGAGGAAATGCTCTGCTAGGCGCAGTTTCTAATTATTTAAAAGACAATTTGCATGCTACACAGAAATAAATTGGCTCCCAGATGACAGCTGTTGCACAGTGTCTTTCCCCAAAATACAGGCAGAAAGGTGGGAGGAGGGAATGAATGTTTCAAACTAGCAAGTTCATAAGCTTAACTACCAAACTGCAACATTTTCAGTCCTTTTTTTTTTTTTTTTCTTCACTAAGGGCACTTTATATTTTGATGGAAAATACTGCGAGTACAGGTGTAACATGTAGTAGGATGTCGTCGTTTCTTTTTCTCCCCAAAGAGAGAAATTCAGCCTTTGCATCACGTTTGCAGTCGGTGATGTCAGGTCATTATAGACCATGAGAATATCATCACCCAAAATGCTTTTTCTTATTGCACGCAGAGAAATCACTGAATGCATTTTTTACTGCTCCATGCCAAAGGAACACCAGGCACCACTTTCCAAGAAGCATCAAGACGATCTCACAAGAGATGCCCAAACATTTTTCAGTGTAATGACTTTCGAATGGACAGCCTTCCAACTGCTACATTTCACATTCTGTATTTTTGCATATTGTACATATATGTGTACACTACATTGTATGGAATATAGTGCTGTATTACACAGGATCCTCACCTTGCCCAGCTCCAGGTCCTGCTGCGCTCCCAGGACTTTTTTGGCCACTAAACAGTGCTGGCCAAGAGCAGAGAAGATTCAACCAGCCTTCTTCAGGAGATGATGGCCACTCCATTGAGCATCTAGGGCATCTGCTAAAGCTGCCCTTCTTGTTACTATCATATAGACCAGGCTGCCTCATCCTTTTAGCAGATCATCACTGGAATCTCCATCTCTCTTGAGATTTTTTAAGAATCTTTGTGGATGTTTAGAAATTGATCTTACTTGTAATCCCCAATGAGCATGCATGCTCTGCAGGGATCCCATCACCATCACGGCAGCAAGGGAGGATGATAAACTCCTAATTGCTCTCACGAAAAACTAAGCTGTTCATTCAGATGTCTCCTTTGTTCAAAATCTGTGTGACTATCGTGTAGGCAAGTGCAGCTGCACTGAGGCACATACAGCAACAAAGTGTGAGGGAGCAAATGGTGCTTTGGTCAAGGTCTGGAAAATACTGGCACTGGGGAGGCCGCACCTCGGTGCTGCGCTCAGTGCTGGGCCCTCACTGCAGGAAAGGCACCGAGGGCTGCAGCGTGTGCAGAGAAGGGCAGCGGAGCTGTGAGGGGTCTGGAGCACAAGTGTGATGGGCAGCGGCTGAGGGAAGCGGGGCTGTTCGGTCTGGAGAAGAGGAGGCTCAGGGGAGACCTCGTGGCTCTCTGCAACGACCCGAAAGGAGGCTGTGTGAGGTGGGGTCGGCCTCTGCTCCCAGGGAACGGCCATAGGACGAGAGGGGATGGCTGTAAGCTGTGCCAGGGGAGGTTCAGGTTGGCCGTTAGGAACAATTCCTTCTCCAGAAGTGATTCTGCACTGACACAGCTGCCCAGGGAGTGCTGGGGTCACTGGAGGTGTCCCAGAGCCATGGGGATGTGGCACTGAGGGATGTGGGCAGTGCTGGTGGTAGGTGGACAGTTGGACTGGATGATCTTAGTGGTCTTTTCAAGTGTTAACAATTCTGTGATTCTAAATCTCTGACAACGTTTGTGGTTCATTTTAAATATTAGCTCACAGATGTGCTTGCATATTGTAATAGCGTGAGAAAGACTGATACCTTGCCACAACCTGAATATTGAGTTTCTTCCAGTGCTCAAAATATATTAGCTGATCAGCACCAGCTGTGACAAGAAAATTATCTGCCATCTTAGCCCATATGTCATACAATTGTGTCACCTCCCTTCAATTTCTATTTAACACCTACTGACAGTAATACTGTTTCTGTGAACTTTACGTTTGCTCTGTGCCGTTCCTCCCTCGTAAAACAAAATCAACATTTTCTGTAAATCATTGTGCCTCTCAGCAGAGGCATATTGGATTTCCTGAAGTGAGATCTGTAAAGCAGCATTTTTGTCCAAGAAAATTTTAAACCACATAGTTTGCATTCGTCCCGTCTTCCTATACGAGATGAGGAATAAAAAGAAATGGAGAGATAGGAAACATTTACAATGAAGAGAGATGGCAGGGATAGGGCTGTAAAACATCAGCTTGCCCAGCCTCGGTGACGTACCACGTCCTTTTCAGGAGAGCTCGCCCTTTGAGCCGACAGCTGATACCACTGTTCTCAAAACACAGCATACAAACCAATCCTTTGTCATTAAGTGAAAGGCTTGATAGGATTCCCTCCCTCCCCCTGTTTCAGCAGACATTCTCATTTCTCTGTCCTCAAGCACATACAATGCCTTATCCATATTCTGGCAGAGCTTTTTGACACTGAACCAGCAGAAGGGCAAAATCTAGAGAAAGAGGCACGGGAATTTTGAGGGTCCTAACTCACTGTCTCAAGGTACCAGCTTCTTCATTCCTACAGAGGCATGTAACTATCAGCACATCAATGCAACTTAAACCTTCGGAGGAGTTTGATATCAATCTACAAATTCCCCCTTTTTTTCAGATTAGCAAAGTGCTATGATCATGCTTTTTTTTTTTTTTTTTTTTTTTTCTTGGACCACAACACATCCTTTACATCATAACTAAACATGAACTAAATGATATTGTTCAATCTGAAAATTGTAGCACCTTTCTTCAAATCAGCTATAACCAAATCAAGCCCAGAGACTTTTAAGGCAGCTTTTGATCAGTTTTGTATCATGATGAAAATTTCCTGTTTGGTTTTCTCCCTCTAAAGCAGTTTATGGAATGCAGTGCTTCACTTTTCTATCTGATAATTCATGCTCCCAAGTCAACATTTGTGAGGGATTTTTTTTCAAATGAAAATCAGACTAAGATGCATCAGCAGGTTCTCTACCACCTACTTCAATTACATGCTCAAAGAATTCTATCACATGAATGAAACTCAGAAGGGTTTTTTTGCCAAGCCTGAATTCGGAAGCACTGATTTTATCTAAGGAATATTATATAAGGAATAAACCAAGTTTGAGTTTTCAGGCCACGTATCTTTTAAGGTATGAAATTCTGCAGAAGTAGCAGAAGATTAAAGTTAAGAGGCAAGCTAAAGAGTGTGACTGACATCATCTGTGATTTAGAACCTCCCTGGAAACATTTGGCTTAAAAATCTGATGTAAAGTCATTAACACGCTGACTTTGGAAAGTGACTTCTGAATATGAGTTCTTAGTAAATTAATCAATTAAAAAAAAAAGATTCTTCAAACTCAGCTTAATGAATTAAGCCTGCTGACTATGCTAAGCAAAAGTTACAATGATACTGAAATGTTCTTTGAGATGAAAGCTATTCAAGCAAATCACATCTCATTTTCTAAACAAATCTCAGAGACACAGTTCTTTCTAGGAAGGTCTTCAGGACTTGCATCATCAGTGATAATTTTACCAAATAATTGAAAAGATGTTTTAAAATCTATCTTGAGTTCCAAGGGAAAATAGCTAGAAGATAAAGCATAGTAAAAGAAAACTAGATTTTTTTTTTTTGCACAATGCTAAACTTATCTTACCTGTAAAGGTCTGTGATCTGCCCTTCATCCCAGCGATAAGAGAGGTCATTAAGAAGACGCTCATGCTGTCCATACAAGCAAATATAGTTGGAAGCAGGAAGGGGCTCCTTTGAAAAGCAGGTGATGCTATCTACCATACTGTATTTGTTGATGTGCATTCTGAAATAATTCCCATCTCTTGCTTTTCCAGTTACAATCTCTGTTCCCTGGAACAGGAAATAAAAGGAAAGCAGGAGAGATGGAGTTAACACCTGGCATATGGCCAGCACCAGCTAAGGTTTTCTTTCTGATATTTGCCATTTCTCAAAATCCCAAACCTTTCAAACCAAGAATATCCATTCCTTGTAATACAGTTTATACAAAGAGCTCCCATGGTTTGGACACAAAAGTTTTCTGTATGGTTTAGATCTTGGTTAGCTGCATAGAAACTGTGAAGCATACAACTGAGAGGACAGCACAGGCTTTGGTTGCCCATGCCTGTGTGGCATTTGAGGCACCTGTGGATATCTGGGACATTCAAACAACACTGCAGTTATGACACAGGACACATGGAAGACTTGTGACCTTATGGAGCAGCAGCTGGAGGTCAGGAGGGACAACACTTAGATGCCTTCAGGCAACTGAATGGAACCCTGTTCATCCTCATTTATTATATGGTGTCTATATGATTGCATACACATGGCTTATCATAACTTCATCTAAGATGCCATGCTAATGAGCAAAGAACACACTGCTATACTCTCTCCAGATTTAAAGGTATAGCCATATATATGTGTGTATACAGGCAGTATATGTGCAGAGTCCAAATTTATGGCACACTGTGGAAGCTCTATGACTGTAGTTGATAGTAACACATTAATCAGTTACAAGCAAGCTTCAGTGTTATACACAATGTTGTAGAGAAATGTTTGAGTAGTCCAAGGTGTGATGTATTGGAACAGTCTGCCAGCAATAAAAATTACCACTGAGATAGACACTGTCCTGTTCTAAAACAGAACTTTAAATTTTATAAATGGCCACCCACTAGCAGGGCTCCATCTCTTCAGGTGTTTCCCTCAGGCCCGTGTTTTACACTTTTTGCTTCTGTTTGGAGTTGTTTCCAGTGACTCCTTCTTGCCAGTTTAAAGAGGGTTGCTGACTGTTGCTAACACTGTCACTAGAATAGTGGCACTGAGTGACAGTTTATGGGCACGGTGGTGATGGGTTGACGGTTGGACTGGATGATCTTAGAGGTCTTTTCCAACCTTAGTGATTCTATGACACTATCCAGAAAAGAACAGTAGTGTTGGATGGCTATGGTCAAACAGCAGCATTTCGTTTCAGCGAGTTAAATCAATTACTTAATAAAAGACAAAAATATAAAAATGTGTCTCAAACCAAACATTGCAGTGGGATGATCAAATAGCTTGAGGCTATTTTCTAATGCTGTATTCATGTTTCAGTTTTATTCATCTTTTAAAACCTGTTGCTAGGCTGCAGTAACCTTTGTTATTTCCGTATCTCTCAGCTAATCCATTTCACTAGCTTCTCTTACTACTTTCCTAGGAAATTATTTTAGGATTTACATGCAGGAGTAGCTTTAAAGGTATTCCATTTTCAGACAACGGGAAATGGAAGGTACAGCAAGAGAATCCTTATCACATTCTAGCAATTTGGCATGACAAAATCAGTGTTTCTTCTCTCTTATAGTTCTATTTGCCTCCTAATATGAGCTGCTTTGGACAGCTCATGTTGGATCTGCAAAGCTGGAAAACAAAGTGAGCCATGCTTTGATCTCCACCCCCTCAACCACCCAAAAGCGTGGACTTCATTATAAAATATTTCTTTCTATGGACCACTGCTATCTAAGTTTTAAAATGAACATCAGCCTAGTCTTTTAAAAGACACTCTGTACTACATACAAGAATGGCCTTGGGGTGGAAATCTCTGAGGAAAAAGGTATAAATCTGTATGAAATAGAGGCTTGACTAGGTGCATGGCCCTTTCTGGTTTTAAAATATGTGAATCTAGACTTCTTGTTTCATTCCCCAGTAAGAAAAGCATCTCTGCATTTGTGTCACAGGAGAATCTCCTGTGTAACTTAAGTATGTCAAGTGCTTCCCTCTTTTCTGCTCAGAGAACGAAGACTCTTATTGTACACTGTCTGTTTTCTAGCAGCAAAGTACAGAGCATCCCTTCTGGAAATTATTCTTTTCCTACTAATCTAGAAATCAACAGAGTTCCACTGATAGACTGTGGTGTTTCGTTGTCTGTATGCACTCATGGCATCCTACTGTAGGGAGGAAAGAGTGAGATTTCAGTGATGCTCCTGCTATTCTATCTCCTGTTTATAAAAATGATGTACCTCTTGAGAAAGCCAAATATCTGAAAGGATGGAAATGAACATCTCAGAGGTTCAGCTTTGTGCTGTTCACCAGCTGTTCACCTGATTTATATGATACACCCTGGCTTAGCAGACTCCAGATTTGTTCTTACGCAAATATCACCACTATCTTGATACATGTTAACTATATACTAAGAATTTCAGAAGCAATGTATTCCATCAAGAAAAATCAAGAGAAAAAAAAACCCATCCTGTTGTGGATGCTCCATCCATGAAGGCATTCAAGGCCAGGCTGGATGTGGCTCTGGGCAGCCTGGTCTGCTGGTTGGCGACCCTGCACACAGCAGGGGGTTGGAACTGGATGAGCACTGTGGTCCTTTTCAACCCAGACCATTCTATGATTCTATGAGAAAGTCAGCACTGAAGAAAAACAAATATTGTAGCATCCCAACAGTGTGCTGAGAGAATTGAGTCTGGAGCCAGATGGGCTCCATACTGAGCCACCAATTCTGACAAAGGTGTCAAGGAGTTGAGCTGCAGTGCCACATCAGGGAGCTGTCTGGATCTGAACTGCTCCAAATAGTAAGAAAGAGCTCAGAGCATTAAGGCTCAATGACTACTTCTGCCTTCAAGGACAAATAAACCCTTAGGTTTTGGTTGATTTCATGGCAAAAGAAGTAAGAACTGCAGTAAAACTAATCAGATATTCATATTCTACGTCTAAAACATTTACACTGAAATAAATACAATTTACATTGAAATAAATTAATAATTGAATTAAATAATCACAGATTGTGGTTTGTTACATTATAGACTTTTTTGATGACTCCCAGCTCCAGAAGGTCTCTAATTACATACTTAAACCCATCCTTACTCTATTTATTTATTCTTAATATATGTGGTACTTTATGAATGTTCCTGAATAGGAGCATTTTTCCAACAAAGATAAAAGGAAGAAAAAAAAGAAGGATAACATAAATAACATAACTTACATGATCAGACAGTGCCAGTACTAAGTCCAAGCGGATGGGGACTTCTGGTTTGGAAATGTGCAAGTAATTATAGCCTCTGGGAAGAACACCTCCTGCCATAAATGAAAAGATGAGGGTTTACTCAGTTGTAAACAAAACCAAAGTATTTCTCGCTCTTCTAAATATATATTTTAACTAAGTGGCTAAAGAGGAAAAATTATTTTGTTTTGTGGCCTCACGTTCTGTAGTACTGTTATACGTAGTGGTGCAGCAGCCACACCTTGAAAAGTTCTGATCATGACTGCAATATAAATGAAAGCATAACTTTGTGTATTATTAGAAAAAAAACCCTTCAGCATAAGTCTTTTGTTGTTTTTTTTTTTTTTCTCCTCAACTCCTAGACAAGACTATGGAGCTAAAGACAGGTGAAGAATGGTAAGTATTGGGGTATATTTAATATTTAATATACAACTCTTGTAAATAGTTCATCCCACCTGAGATACCTCTCAACAGAGAGCATCAGTCATTTTTTCAGGATGCTGCTGTTCCCCTCACTTGAAAATAGAAGAAGTCTAGCACAGATCAGGCAGAGCTCTTAAATGTCTTGAGCTGGGACAAGGAGAAATGGATCCTTCCATGAATGCAGGCAGAGTTACTCACTGATGTCACCTCTCCACAAACTATAAAGGGAGCTTTGATGACTTCACTGCCATTAGGAGGCTACTGAAGTGAAATGGACCTACCTGCACTACATAACAGCAAAAAGACCAGCGAGGGTATGGAAGTATGACTGAGCTCCATTTTCACATACCTTGAATTTTACAACCCTTATACATGGGGATGAGGCTATCTGTGTCTTCTGGTGGCTTCGAAAAGGGCTGAAGGGTTGGATCAAAGAGACTCAACATAGATGCAGCAAGTTCAAAGCCAATCTGTTTTGAATTGAAGTTGCTGTGTGTCCATTCATCTGCATAATATCTCCTGGAGTACTTTGTTAAAGGACCTGCAGCCCTGATACTGACATCATTAGTGCGGAATTCAGTATCAATCACAAGCTTTCCATCAAAAACAAGGCAAGCATCATTAACTGCCTTGAAGGTTTCATAATCCACTCTCTTGTAGGCAAAGCTGAAAAATGCCTAAGAAGAAATGTAAGCAAGCACAGGTTATTAAGCATTAGTTACCGACTAATTTCATAAATAAAACCCTATTCTGAATGTTATTTATTTCAGAAAACAAGAACATGAAATACAGTTTGATTTTACACAGACAGATAAATCCTTCTGATCCGATATTTATAGCTACTAGAATGAGAGCTATAAATATTGGATTAGAAGGGGAGAATTACAAAACCAGACTCATTTACTTCTGGTTAAGTAGATGAATTTTATTTTAAAACTCTAATGTTACGTTATGTCCAATAGTCGGAGTGGATGCGCACATTTTAGAGTTGAATTCTTTATAAAGTTGTTTTTCTTCTTTCAAGTGCTGAAGCTAAATTGAAAAACTCGGTAATAGAAAAAGTACAACATGCTTTGTATGTTAGCAGGATAACCATATGTTGCAAATATTTTTCAAAGTGTTATGCCTAACTGTTTACCAGCAAACTATGCTATCACGGCTACTGGCACAGAGATATTCAATGAAATTGAAAGATACGACATTCAGATTGTTCAGAAGAGATGTCATGCTCATCCAAAATATTGAATTGAAGCCAGTGGAAGCAGTGGAGGCCAAGAAGATTGTGAGAGGTATTAAGAAACTGAGTGTTTACAAGAAAAGGAAAGCATTCACATTTATTATACTTCAAATTCTGTAGAGTGCATTCAAACTCTGCTAGATCTCTTAACTATTCCAGACCTGGATGATGCTTGCTTTAGGAGGCAGATTGCTCAGCACATCCTTACTGCTCTCAGACATATGGCACAGGTGTGGATGGACATCAGACAGACCCATGGATCAGCTGGGACAGCCCAGAGGAGACTGTGTCTAAATTAAATCCTTGGTCCATTTGGCAGGTCATTTCTGAAGCTGGTCATAAGCAGAGCTGATGGATATTCAGCACATTTTAGTTTGTGGAACGAAAAGAGACACGACTTCCATTCTTTGTAAACACCAGCTCGGCTGTCCTACTGCTCAGCTTAAAGAAGTGGCCCTGAGGTAGGGATTTATCCTGAGCAGCAGCTACCGAGGCCGTGAGCTCGCCTTCCCCACAGGAGATTTCAAGGGCATTGAAAGAAAATAGCCCTAAATCCCTAAATTCCTCCTCTAGGTCTCAAAGAAAAAGCTAGTGATAATTCCCTCCTTTTGTCCTCCTGTGGCATCTGCCTGCACCCTCTCCTGGGACGCCAGCGAGCAGATGAGCCCTCCAGTCCCCAAAATGGGAGCTGAGGCAGCACTGCTATGTCAGGCAGCACAAAGCAGGCATGCTGGAAGCAGTCTCATCTGAGGCGTGAGGTGCTGGCATGGAGCAGATGTGCACGCAGCACGTCCTGCAAAATCTACTGGATGCCCAAGGAGCTGCTTTGAAACCCAACGTGGGGTGAGAGAGAAGGCTGGGGGGTGTGCTAGGCTCCCCCCCCCCTTCAGTCTGCACGTTCTTTCCAGGCTCTCTGCATTAATAACAGCAGGTTTCAAACCCAGCTAAAATTGTGCACCAGTGCTGGAGCAGAAGGGATGAGGTGCAGGGAAGCAAGGGTGGGTCACTACAGCTGGAGCTGGGGCACGAATCCAACCAAGCTCTACCCCATGCCTCCACCTCTGGCACAAAGCATCAGAGACAACAGAAGTGCAAGAAGCTGCAAGCAGATCTTCACAGGTGGCTCTTACAAAGGATAAACCGATAGCTGGCCGGTCCCCAAAATAGTATAAAAGAAGGGCAGAGAGTGGGTACTGAGGGTTAAAAGTGGTAAGAATGACAAGATATGCTTTGAACAAGATCAGATAGTGTGCAAAGGGAACAGATGAAGACTGACCATCTTGTTGCTGCAATATATATTGTGGAGCTCCAGAGCCTTTAAAAGGAGCTTTCCCCTTCATCAGTGCCCTCAGCTTTTAAAATGATTACATGACAACAAATGCTCCCGTCCACCACCAAGAAATATTACTGCACAAGCTGAGAAAAGGGTGAAAGAAGTCATCAGATGAGCGTGCGTTACCTTACTGCCTTCATCTTGAACAGCCTGGGATATACATCAGAGTAAGCAGTGTCAGTAATCTGTCTGTTGTTTATAGGCAGCCTCGGGGAGGCTGCGACTGTGACCCAGGTAAAGGTATTACCCAATTAGACCACCAAGGAGCTGTGGACTGAATGCAAGCATCAGATGCTCATGGCCGGGAGGAAAGGCACAGGAGAGGGAAGCCAAGAATCACAGAATCATTAAGATAAGAAAAAAAACACTAAGACCATCTAGTCCAAACCATCCCCACCATGCCCACTAAGCCACTGGCGAGGCAGGCAGGAGCAGAGGAGCCATAGGCTCTGTGCTTTTTTGTATATAAACCAGGTAATGAGCACTGCATAGTTAATGCCTAACCATCTAGTAGATCCCAAAGCAGAGAAGCTCTGCCTGGTGTCCTGCCTGCTGACAGGGAGGGGAGGGAGGGGACTGCTGCAGCCTCCAGGCTGGGAGCCATCTGTCAGCCTAGGAGGGGAGGGAGGGAGGGAGGCTGCTGCCTTCAGGAAAGAGATTTTCTCCTGTTGTTTTTCTCCTGCAGGACCCAACAAATTAAGACCCTAAGAACTGCCAATCAACAGTTGATATTGGCTCAAATCCCAAAAGGTCCAGCGTGGCTGTAGGGCCGATTCCTGCACAGCCTGCTTTCTGTGGAGGCTGTTCTGGACCTCCTGTCCTCCTCGGAGCCCATCTTTCCAGGTGGCTGGGAGCCTTGCAAGGCAGCTGAGCTGGATTTGTAGAACAGAGAGATGCTGGCATCAGAAGGGACTACACGTCCCTCATCTTTGAGGCCATTAAGGATAGGCAAGCAGCACAAAAGAGCAAGAGAAACAAACCAGAAGATAATGAGAGTCTTGAAGGAATGGCACAGGCCACATGGGAAAGGTGATGGAGCAGAGAAGAGGTATAGGTTTGTGAATGGGTATTAAAGTTACAAAAAGCAGATTCTCATATCCATAAAAGAATAAAAATAGAGGGATTTCAGGGAAGGAAGGGACAAAATGAAGTGCTGCATACGAGGGCAGAGCAAAAGGAATGTCACTGCTGTCACGTGTCAGGTGAGCCAGTGGATGCAAGGTCTTCACCTCTTTCAGGAAGGGCTTAGCTATCTGCATGTTGAAAAGAAAAGGACTAGGAAAAAAAACAAAACTACAGTGTGTGGCTTTCCAGCTCAGGGGAGCTGTCTGGGAGTAGCACATGGTCCTTCATTCCCAGATCTACAGCCCTTATTGCACAAAGGAGCAGCCAGTGCAGTGAGGATGTGCTACGAGGGCTGCAGGGCTTCTCACGGACACACATTTTGAAATGACTCTACCAGAAGCTCACTCACACAGATCAGCCCAGTGATGAAAACCAGCACTAGTTTTCCCATTAGGAAAGGTTAAAAACTGTCCCATATCTCACAGGAGCACCATATGTGTGAGTGCGTGTGCAATGTACCTAGATAAGCTATCTATACTGTAGATGGACAAAAATGCAATCAGTAATGCAGAGGGAGAAAAATCTGTTTAAAACGTATTTTGATAAATATGTAGTAGGCCTCTATCCTAAAATTCTTGGCTGCTAGTATGACTTAATGAAATCTTAATCATATGCACATAACTATAGACAGGAGTTACTGTACGCATTTAAATAATAAAAGGATTTCTAGAATGATGTAGAAAATGAATTGAGAGCATTTGTCACTCAACAGCAAGCAACTACTGGTGAGTCGGCTGACTAAAAGACATTTAAATCCAAATCAGTCGGGGAATTAACAGTAGTATTATTTGGATTTTTGCACAAAACAATCCTTCAGACTAACAATCGAATGTTAATTCTTCTGGAGACAATGAGAAAATAGATAAACCGGCAAGGGACTATCAGGATTTGACGGCCTTTGTCTTAAAAAGCAGACTGAAGGAAATACAATGAAAGCATATACTTACTGAGCACTGCAATTGGAACGGTTTTCTATTAGTAGTGAAAGCAGCGCGTGTGATGAGGTCTGGGTCGTCGCCTTTGCTCCACTGTGCCAGGATACTGTCATAATAAACAGACACGCCAGCCTCTGACAGAGCCTCCTGAACAGCACTTTCGATTTCGTTGTTGTTAAGGCAAGTAACGTTTGAGCTGAGTGGAGGCTGCACGAGATGGATGCGAGAACCATCGATTCCCAGAGATAAGAAGGTTTCTACCGTGGTGTAAATGTCAATTGTATTCCCGTAGACAATGATGTTCCCTAAGGGGGAAAAAAAAAAAAAAAGGGAAAAATTTCTAAGATGCACAATGAAAACCTTATTAGTGTAACTCAGATGATAATAACACGAAATTGCTCTCTTTGACCCTCTTATTTCTCTGATGCTATGAAGCAAACAATGTTACCTAGCAACAGTAGCTAAGATAATTTAGTGAAGAATCTGTACAAAACATCCCACAAAGTAGGCAAGTACTTAACACAGAAGTATGACATTCATTCTGACCCTGTAATTTGAAATTATTCTGATTGAAAATCCTCTGGGGCCAAAAAAAAAAGAAAAAAAAAGAAAAAAAACACCGCATTCTATTTTGTTCTCTTCTTCCTCCTCAATTTTGCTTATATTCAAAGCACTTACTGGGCAGGCAGGGGAACAGGAGCAAATTAAATACATTGTGCAAAAAAAGGGTAGTGGAACTGGGAAAGAGCAAGTTGGATGAGACAAGCTGTTGTGCAGTGCAGGAGATTGCTGGCACTGTTGCTTCCTTTTGCAAAAGCTCATTCTGCAAACAAGGGACCTGGCATACACTGGAGGGCCTGTGTGCTTTATGTAAGGATGTTTAATATAAAACACATCAATATTCCTCTGTGCAGGGCCTGCAAACTGCTCCTTTCCTCCCTGTTCTCTCCCTTGCTCCATAGAGAAAGGATGTTTAATATAAAACACATCAATATTCCTCTGTGCAGGGCCTGCAAACTGCTCCTTTCCTCCCTGTTCTCTCCCTTGCTCCATAGAGAAAGCGTCTTTCTGCCCTCTGATCCACTCTGCCTTCAAGTAAGCCATGCAAAAAACCACAGCTCTTGCAGGATGGACTGAGAATTCCTTTCCTGGTGGGAATGAGAAGTGCTTACCAAAGGCCCAGCCTAGCGAAGGGTTACTCTGACTGTAAGCTATGTGAGCCTGGCCAGCACAGAGATCATCACCATTTGGCAGAGCCGCTCTCTTCAGGGAGGAGTTTGGTGGTTGCATTACACGTTGGCATTTCTGTATATACGAGATCAGATTCAAGCCCGGCATTTCTCAAGGAAAATTAAAATTCTGTTTTATATGGTAATATTAAATACAATTACATTACATTAAGGAAAGCAATGTTCCTTCGCTGACCTCTTGTAAATCAACAATTTGCAGTTTCTGCTTATGACAATATTAGGGGCTTTTTAGATTACAGCACTGGTAGTCTAGGAACTACTGATATTCATTATGGACTGAAATTATGTTCGCTGGACAGATAGCGATTCCTCAGGATGCTTTTATTATTTAACTACATACAAATGTATCTATCGGTGAGTAAACATAATCATCTTCCATGGAAAAAAGCAGCCATAAATAAAGATCGTTAGCGTGGTTTTATCATTTATTACTCGAATGTCAGAGTTCTACTGCAGAGCAGGCTCATTCATTTTCCACAAGTGGAAGGACAAGATTTCAGTGATCCCAGGATGACCTGAATCTTTTTAGTTTGCAGAAGCTAAAGAAGAAAACGTTATGTTTGCCAAAGCATCGGCAGCTCTGGTTGTTGATTCGAATGCTGGAATTTTAATTTGATAGTATTCCTACAAACATGCTTTTAATAAGGCAGTAAACTGTGTTTAGGTAAAGAGGAAAAATAATTGCTCCATTTTGGGCCATTAAAGCGGTTTTGTTTCTTTCTTTACTCCCATCCTACTTTTTATTTTCGTGGAGAGTGCAGCGCTAATAGGAGATGAATTTCAATTAGTTACAATTACAGTTTTAATAGGTTACACGCATGAGACAGCTGGGTTTCATCAGGGAAGCCACAGCCCCAGGACTGGGGCTGGTGCTCACCCTGCTCCAGCCCCAGGCAGCAGGAGCCACCAGGCACCTCTCTGCTCCCGTGAGGAGCCCATGGTGGAAGGAAGGTGGCAGTGCCATGGAGACTGCAAACTGCTTTTGGTAAAAGTAACAGATGAGTGAAAGGAGGATGCAGCAAGAGAAAGGTATATGGAAAGAAACTAGCTATCCAGCAGCCCTGTGGACTGGGCTCATTGGGAGCTGTGGGTTTAGCATATTGCTAAAGACAGGATAGTGCCTAATTAAGATATCCACCTTTACATCACACCAAAAGCCAGCAGCAGTGCTGAAATTATTAATACTAATTTAGTATTAGTAAAGGTGCCTCGGTCCCAAAGGAGATGAAGTGCCAGACCTCCCTTTCACCTGAGCAGTGATTGTCCCACTCAGGTGTGTGCAAGCACATTCCAGGACTGGGCAACACACAGTTTTATAAGAAGGATGAGCAGTAACAAACAGGGAAAACTAACCACCTCATCTGTTTCTACAAAGGCAGCTGTGCCTGTCAGCTGGACACCACGTAAAGCCATGCAGACTGCTCTAGTGACATGCTTGAGGCTGGGAAGCTGTCTGAAGAAAACGTCAGCTGAGACATCACCATGTTTAACTGCCTCCCATCCTGATCACAGCAAGACTGGGAAGGTGATAAAGAAACTTCTAGTATCTCAAGAACTTCTTTAAAAGCCTTCCAAGCAGGACATGAACATGGCAGACCACAGCTATCCATGTTCATTGGTCTGCTCTGTGCTGAGGAAGCCAGTTCAGCTCTATTTTCAGGAAACTCCTGGTTTTGCTTCCAAGAGCTTTTCTGCTCTCAACTCTTCACTGACTCCAGTCTGGCACCAAGAAGACATGATGGGTGAATTCATTTACTGTTTGATCTCCTTTCAGTTGTGGAAAGGATTTAACTTGGAATTCTGGATGACTCTAGGTATTTTCTACAGCATGCACATTCAATGAATATATGATCAGTGTGCACATGAACAGATATAATGCACAAAAATGTGACCTGAAGAGTTAAAAAGACAATACAGAGAGACTGCAGTTCTGTGTGAAAAGCTGTAAACTGATGTAATGGAACACAAAGATGACAGAAAAGGAAAAAAAAAAACCATCATCTGATTTAGATCTGTTTTCTTTGTGTTACGCCTCAAATCTAAATGTTCATCTATAAGAGAAAAACACGCTCACTAATTAAATTATTATTTAATTGTCTAATTAATGACTCCAAACAGATTTGCATGTGGGACTCATTTTGTTTTATATAATAATTACAGATGATTAATCTATCTCAAGATTTTTTTTTTTCCTAGATAAATATGCTGGGTATCAAAAATGACAACAAATTGTAAATTAATCTGGAAAACAAAGCACAGCAGATGAAAGACTTTGTTCTAATTAATTGAGCATCAATTATACCATGGAGTTAAGGAAACAATAAGCTTAAAGAATATTTCTGCAAGTGTGTGTGCCCAAAACCCTTACCTTCTGAGTTGATAAAATTTTCCTTCAGCCATTCCATTGCCTTTAAGCAATCCTGATCATCATTGAGAGTAAAATGATTGGAAGGAATTTTCCCTGTGTATCTTTGTGGCCGTTTACTGGTAACTTCTTTATTAGTTGCAAATGTACTGATATCTGCTTCAGTAGGGGACAGAACCTGGAACAAATGGATGAATGAATAGATATATATGACATATATCTTCAACTACTATTAAGATTTGTTTTTGAAATAATCTCTTTGTAATTAAAAAAACCCACACGATTAAAATAATTCCTTTTTTTTTTTTTTTAAGAGCTTGAAGGTGAGAATAGATGATATTTTCTTCTTGAAAGCAGATAAAAGCTAAGTCTTCCCATGCTTCCCTTATCTCTTCCTCTACTGTAGTTATTTCCCACAACTTATTTTACAAGTCGGGGTTGCATTTGAATATCTTTTTTCCTAGGAGCACTTAATCACAATTACACTTACAGTACAACACTGGAAGCAGCTTTTGTAGTACAGGAAGCTCTGATTCTACAGCAGGACGGAGCACTTGGTTCCTCTCTGCATAGCTTCGTGTTACACACACTATTCAGAGGTCTGTGCTGCTGCTGTAAGCTAGGGGAATGGCAACACTGCTTCAGCAATCAAGGCAAAAACAAAGAACCTCAGCTGGAAAATCAGTCCTTTTCACTTCTGTCCTCCCACATACTGTGAGGCTGCACTGAGTATCATAGGCCACCTGACCTCACCTGAAGCTTTACCACGTGCTACAGCAATACATAGCACCATGTATGTGCCCAGGAGAGTTCATCACGTGAATCAAGTAATTAATTTGAAAAGAAATTCCCTCCACGGCCAAAACTAGGTCAAATGGTGTTGCACCAGCTGGAGTTAAGTCTCAGTGGCTGGGGCCACGTGTCAGTTGGATCAACTCTTCAGCAGGTTTGCTGGTCACAGTGGCAAAAATACTGGCAGCTTTGCTTAGCATCTGATCCTGAGGTGATCCATTGCTGGGAGAAAAGTTTGTAAAACCTCCCTCTCCTCTGCTGCGAGCTGTAGAGCTGCACGAGGCAGTACGGCCTGCTGGCTGCAGGCCGCAAACATTGGTTAGACAACAGCTAAGGAGCATTCTACTCCTTTGCTAATTGCAGAGACCCCGTTTACTGTAAAAAATGATAAAAGAAGAGAGGATTTTTTCACACTGCACACAATCTTACCTGATAGTTCTGTCCTGTGCAGAGAACAAGGTAGTCGTACGGTACTTTCCTCTCCTTGGAAACAACTACATATTTGGCAGAGCGATTTATGCCAGTCATTTTACCAACCACAACGTTAACCCAGGAACAAAGTGACATCTGTGCATAATCTTCATCATTAAAACAGTGGCTGTGAAGAAAGAATATCTGTAAGTGACATTTCAGCAGCTGACAGCAGGCATTAATTAGACATCTGGTGAGTTAGCCAAAGTCCCCTAGTGGTTCAAGTCTGTTCTCTTGCTGTGAGTTTACTGCAGCCTATAGTAAAAGATTAGTCATTATGAAATACTCAGTTACAAATTGACAACTTTTTGCTAAAACCAAATAATCCCTCCCAGTGCTGGGCCATATAACCACATAATTTAAAAATGAAGTCAGGGGGGAAGAAAAAAAAAAGAAAAGAAAAAAAAGCTTTCCTCTGCTTTTTGTTTGTTTGCAGGTTGATGCAGGGAGGAGACTTTTGCACCTGCAAAGAAAATGTTTTGATCTTTTTTGTCTGATAAAAGATTCCTTTTTATTATTTTGTGCAATTGAATTACTCTGCAAAATTAAGTGAATATTAACAGAAGCAATGGAGGAGTTATCATGTTGGCTATCCAAAAGAAAACAAAATTAGCAGGCATAGGAGAGAAAGGGAGAGAAATAGTGCAGGTGTGAAAAATAGGAATGTTCACTGAGAGCTCCAGAAAGGGAACCACCACCACCCATGTATTTTGCTTCTAGTACCAGGATATACATTCTAACACACCAGAACTGACTGCTACACATTAATTGCTGTTCGTGAGTTCCCAAAACTGTCCTAGAGGATGATAACAATAACAAATAGGAAAAAAAAGAAAGAAAGAAAGAAAAAAAAAGGTTGTTGCTGCTGTGGCCTGTGAAGAATTTTAGAACTGAATGTTCGGGCTCTCTGAGGTGCTCTGCATCCTCTGTACTCACAAATACCAGAGGGAAATAAAGAACGGAAGGCACCCACTGTCAATTCTAAACTGTAATCATGCAGAAATCTATAAATAAAATGGACATCAAGGAGAGATTAGGGTTTTCAAAAGCACCTTTATAATTGAGGTGCACAGCTCCCAGGAGACTGACACTCCAAAATCACAGGGATGCTTTCAAAACCCATATCCTGCAGAGTTCCATTTTCACTCTTAATCTGCTTTCAGATTTTAACAGCTAATTCTGGCGAGGCAGCTATGAACAGCAACTTTCCATCAGGGTGGATATTTTGTTATTGTAAGTCTTTTCTTACAGTATACTTACGAAAAAGTGCACATGCTTTTGTGTGAGTAGAGAACCCCTCCATTTTCTAGACCTGTACTTAAAAACATCCCTTTCTACAATAGAAAAAATAATTCCCTAACTATTTATCAAAAAATTCCCTGATAGGGCAAAATTCAGAATATGGTAAGACAGTTTTAAACAGGTCAACATTGCACTATTTTCAGGTCTCTGTAGACATTTCTGGTTTAAAGTTCAGCAAGTAGACAATGAGTTGTTTTGTGATTTAAAGAGCTGGCTCTTCAGGGCATTACTGAAGTTACCACTTTATTAATACTTTGTGACACCTCCCTAATAATAGGAATATTGAACTCATTTACAAGCCATATGGATTGGATTGTTTTGAGACTATGTTCATGTGTTTCGAGAAAAAAATTTAGGACCAGTTCACAGAAAATCACAACGTCGAAGTTATTGAAGTGTTTATATATTAAATCAAACCTGTGAATTAAAAATCTTCTATGCTTGGATCCTGGTAGGTCTTTTCCTGGAAGGCCATGAGTTGAAATCAAGGTCAGATTGCTGAATTTCAGGTGTGGACTATGGAAAGAAAAACAAAATGCCATAGTAAAACCAGCACGAGTTTGCTGAGGGTTCTGTCTGGTACAGCTGCAACATGAGTGCACTTTAACATATAGCAGTGTTGACAGATAACTGATTCTCCCCATCCGTTCCTGTGGCTTTAATTGAGGTGTAGCACAAGGTTGTCTCAATCCTGACACACGTATTTAAATTCTTTCGTGTCACTGACAAACTCTTTCCTAAGAGCTTATGCAGGACTAAGCTTCCCTGACTACAGTAGTTACTGCAAGACCACCAAGTCTTTGCTCAAATGCCAGCATACGGTGTCCCAGGAACAAAACATACCAGACAGACTCAAATCACATCCCTCCTTGCACGTGTTTGGTTAGGAAGCAAGTAGGAAAAGCCTTGTCGACAACCACAGTGTAAACCACGCAGAGAAGGGACTGTGATTCTGTGATGCTATTTAAGTGTCCTCAGTGGTCCCAGGTGATGTAGAAACAACATTTTTGAATCGTAGAATCGTAAAGGTTGGAAAAGAGCACTAAGATCACCCAGTCCAACCCCAGCCCACCGTGCCCACTGCCCATGTCCTGCAGTGCCACATCCCCGTGGCTCTGGGACACCTCCAGGTGAGCCCAGCACTCCCTGGGCAGCTGTGCCAATGTCTCACCAGCTTCACTTCTGTTGAGCACCCAGAGTTTCAAAAAGATACAGCTGAGTGCCACTCTGAGATTACTGGGTTGTTCCTCACTACCTGCAGACTTCTGTCCCTACCCATCAGCTTTACTGACTTGTACAGGACAAGGATAGGGCCCTTGCCACTTCCATTTTCCTCTGCCTTCCCTCTAAACACACCTGCTCAGGAAGTCTCTTGCTCTTCCCCTCACGCCTGAACCCAAGGAAAATAGGCAATGGGTAAAATAAACTTTCAATAAAGAAAAATGAAATCCATTGCTGGTGAGCATCACTAATTCCAAACGTTTTGCTTAACAAGACTGGATTGAAGACCACGCTTTGGAACCCTGCAGAAGTACAGTCAGGAAGCACTTAGAAAAACATACAAGCCATGATGGAAACCTGCAGTTACTCAGACATCTGGTAAGAAACTCTGTGCCATGATCATTTTTATGTCATTTATTATGTGCTACAAGATGTTAATTTCATCCTGTAGGAGGACATAGAAAGTAACTTCTTTACACAGGCCAGGTACAAAGTGTTTTGCCATTTTGCTAAGATTCACACATCTTTGGACAGAAAAATAAGAATTTCCAACATAGTTTCATTAACACCAAAGGGTGGGGGGTGGGGGTGGGGTGGGAGCAAGACTGACAGTATGTTGAACTAAATGTGATCTGACATTTAAAAACAAATAAATATTATGAGTGATTAAGCCTTCTAATCTTCCAGGCTTTGTGTAAGTTAAGTATGGATTGATGCAAATGGTACAAAGGAATCAGAATGTTTTTTATCAACCAGTGTTAATTTGTTATTCATACACTTAAAAAATATATTCAAACAAAGTTAAAGGTCATACTTAAACCAAGGAATTTTGAGGTTATGGCTGCCACTCTCAAAATGCATATTAATAGTTTAATTCTGGATTATGGATTATCTATGGTAAATCTCCATGCATACCCAGGCCAAGTGCAATGTAATAAATAACCTTAATGTAACAGAGTGCATATATTTATACAGATTATGGGCCTGATTCTCGTTTAAATTAAGGTCACTCTGCAGAGGTGGGTGTAAATAGAATCTGCTCTTCATTTATGGCCACATTATGTTGGCTGCGTGATACAAAGTGGTCTTAACGTAAACAGAAGTTTACACTGAGCTGGATTTGAAGTGTGCAGCATGCCATTTGCACTTATGGAACACTTCTGGTTGGTTGCAAATGCTAGCAATTGCAGTTCAATGTACACACCAAAATAGTGTGACTGCTTGGTGTTTAGTTTACATGGAATCGTGAGGAAAAGGGCTGCAACAGTGCACAAACATCCCAGACATTCTTCTATCACTAAAGGTTCCTTCCAGCTCACAGCTGAACCTGTTCATTTACTGCATGCCCTCTTGCCAATAGGTCTCCAAATCCACCTGCTATAATAACATTAAGTTTAAATTCTATGAACAGTATTTAGGATGAAAATGTTGCAAGCAAGCATCAGAAAAATGGTAGAATAAAAGGTTCCATGCAACAATAACATGCCTCTTTTGCATGACTGCACTGTGATGCACTTCACTGATCTGATCACATACTATTTTCTTCTCTAGAAGCTCTACCTTTATCTAGTCCATATGCAGTCATCCATTATTTCCACAGTCATATGGTGTTTGGTCAGTTCTTCCCCACCAAGTGGGAGGCTTTAATTTTGAGCTTTCACTCTGTATAATTTACTATTTACTGCTATTTCAGCACTCCCACAAGCATTCCCATATGCCCCAAACATTAATGAATTGGAAACTAGAACTAAATCAAAATGTTGATTAGCAACTCATTAGAATACTACGATGACATGAGTAATATCTTTGATTCCTCATTTACACTGAAAAAAATCAAGACACAAAGCAAATTGGATTAAAGCTATCCAAAGGATGTGCTGATGTCAGAAGCTGAACAGAAGAACCCAGAGCTGGTATCTGATGCTGCCTGTGCTCCAAGAACAGGCACATGCCCTTCTGGGACCAGGATCTCAGCTTGGAATCACCACAAGTGATCCACGAGCAGCTGCAGAACCAAGCTTGCTGCATTTCAAGAAGCATCTGGACAACACAAACACCACAGTGTTTGAATTTGGGGTGCGTGGAGCCAGGAGTTGGATGATCTTTGCAGGTCTCTTCCAGCTCAGAGTGTTCTGTGATCCTGGCTTTGTCACCAGCCCTGTGGCACTGCAATGCAGATCCTCCACACGTATGTGTGCATGGACCAGGGCACACAGTCAAGCAGCTCTGTGGCCACTAATCTCACTGCAGTTCACACTGCGAATGGCACAAACAGTATTTCTTCTGCAAAGAAAAAATCAAGGTAAGCTGTTATCTGAGCAACAGTGGAGATCAGAGGCGAGCAGAGTGGAAAAGTTGGGATGGCAGCAAACTTGTGAGCAGAAGGTGGGAGCCAAACTGATTTTTTCAAGTGACTTCCACAAAAAGATGAACATCAAAGCCTTTACATTAGGAGACAATCCTCCCCCAATATTTGGGCTCCCTGCAACACTTGCCAGAGCAAGGAGCTCTGATGCACACAGCAGTTCATCACCCCACAGTGCTGCTGATGGCTGCACGAGGACGCTTTTCCTCAGCGTGTTCTTAGGCTATCAACTTGTTGCATCTGTGCAGGAATGAAAGACTTCACAGTGGGAAGACATTCCTGCAGAATTAGCAGTTCTAAAATTTACTGCAGTGATAGCTTCAATCACTGCCTTCAGCTTGAAGGACTGAAACGTAGGATTAGGTGCTTGTGATATTCTGAAAATATGACAACTTAGAATCATAGAATCATAGAATCATTTCAGTTGGAAGTGATCCTTAAAGGCCATCCTTTCCAACCCCCTGCACTGCACAGGGACACCCACAGCTCCAGCAGTGCTCACAGCCCCATTCAGCCTGACCTTGGCTGTCTGTCTGCAGGGATGGGGGCATCACCACCTGTCTGTGCAGCCTGTGCCACTGCCTCACTGCCCTTATGCTAAAAAATGTCAAAACCTTCAAAAAAAAAAGCATAAAAAAAACCCACGTCAGGTAATAGATCATCATTTCTGTCAATGCGTTCTGTCAGTGCAAGCAATTTTGGTCACATTTGCCAACAGCGAGGTAAAATTCCTCATCAGCTAAGATCAAAATTTGTTGGGTTTAAACAAACTGGCATTGGTGAAAATTATCAGAAACTTTAAATGTGAAAATAGAAGCAAAAAGTAGCCTCGTATATGACCAAGGTTGATTTGAGAACTGCAGTAGCTATGCCTCAGGTTAGGATTTTAAACCTGTATACAAGCATTTAAATACGAGCCTGAAAAACACAGGCAAGCTGTAGATGCTTAGCCATGGTTACTACTGGCACAGAGAGGGGAGATAACAGTGCTGAGCATGTTGTCAGTGTCTGCTGGGCACCTTACCACATCATCCACCACTTCTCTCCACACAGCACTATTATTTCCAGGCCAACAAAAGGATGGTTTTATTTATGACGGCTGTCGGTTCCCTACTGCTGCCTAAAAGCTCTTAATAATATGAAAACAAAGTAGGCTCTAAGAAATGGGTAGTGCATATAAAGGAAAATGGCTTCCCTGCCTCTAACTTATATATTGATATGAAGTATGGTAAAAGCACATGTTCCCATTTGGTGAAAAAGTCTTCAAGAGAAGAGCCTGAGCCAGTGCAACATTAAACAACTGCACCTACATTATCAAAGTAAGCAGTTCCAGCAGGGATTCATGTTGCTGTGGATACAAAGGGAAGAACAGCTCAAAGATACTGGTAAAGCAGGGAGGGATTAGAGTATCTAGGGAAATAAGTAAAAGGTATTGAGTTTCATTGCACAGTTCTAGAGGACGGCTACAAAAGCAAGTCTAAACACCTTCGTCCTTGAAATAAAACTGCATCGCCAGTTTGTTGTGAGCACAGCCAAAGGAAGAAACAAACAAAAAGTTTTATACCAAATTTAGATATGTATCATTTTTATACGTATCTGCTAGCATTTGCAAATTGGTTCCAATATTCCTGCCTCGTTTTTCTGAATTTTTTGCCTGCTGGGTTTGCTTTGAGTGCGTGGTGCAACAGCAAAGGTTTAAGTGGTTAAAAACTGCCTGGACAAATTATGTAATTAACTGCTTTCATTAACCTCCTCATTATCACAAATAATCAGTCATAATTATGCTATAACCTCAACTTTCCTGCAGCACAGAACTTCATACTGCACCTCTGAACAACTCTAAAAATAATAAAAAGTCATCTGTTTTCAGCACTACAAATAATTAGGTTGAGAAATTCTTGCATGAGCAGAAATTTGAATCAGAGAAGTT